CCTCCTTATACTCAGGCCCTGACACACCAAGTCCACGGATTGAGTCCAGGGCTATTCCAGTTAAGCTTTGGCGGAGTCTTGCCATCTTTAAGCTAGTTGGTTCGTTCGACATATCTACTAGGCTTACGAACAGTCCCCAAAACTCTTCAAACTTTTTCTTGTCTCCGTCAAAGGTTGGCACCCTCAATGGCTTCAGCCGACGGTTAATAACAGTTTCTCCATGTCCACTACTTGTTGTTGTAACATCATGCTGCGGACTAGGGTACCCCGTTGAGGTGGAACTACTGTTCTCGGTAGCCGGTTGTTGTAGGTGATCATTACCCCCTAATGTTGCAGGAGCCACAGCCTGGGGCCCCTGGTTTGTGACGTCATCAACTATGTCGAGTTCACCTTCATTCCCAGTTACGGAAGTGGAAACCCCTTGATTATCTGTGACTTCGGTTTCTGCTTCACCCCCTGTGTTTGGGGCAGTTTTCTGTATGGGTGGACTCGGCACACAGCTTTCTGATGCACATTTAACAATAACAGCCTGCGTCTTTTCAATGACCTTCTGACAATCCCCCTCTAACTCATTCGACTCTTACATCACCAGCTTATGACTTTCGAAATCTTTCTGTTCCATGAAATATGCAGACATTTCATCCATGATAACTTGTGTATCTTCCAGTATTTGCCACAGTGTCTCTACACGATGTTCCAGTTCCTGTATATCAACCTCCGCCTTTTCAACGATTAACTTCTCAAGATGATGCCTTGCTTTCGTTGTGCTACGTTTACTGGCTCGTTTTCGTCGGTTTAACTCGATTAGAACTAGCTTTTGTTTAACTTCCTCATCCGCTTTAGGCTCCTCTGGTATTTCACTAGGATCCAGTTCTGTGTCCGACATGATAGCAACACTTAAGTTTCAGATACCAACAAATTATGTCAATTAATACTAGATATTTTTTCTCCAAGCTCAAAATGTACAAAAAGGGTAAACAACACTTCACTACTGTCCAAATATAGATCAACAATTCCAGTAAAAAACTAGCGAACACAAGTTCCCGCACGCTGAAAGTTTGTATAAAATCCGATAACTAACAATATTCTTCCATTAATAAAGAACCCACACTAGCAAATTCAATTCGTTAGTGTATTCCATATTCGTTAATTTATTCGATATTCGTTAATTTATTCGATATTTCAAATTTTCAAAACACGCATAAATTACTCGCAATGTCTCCGATATTTTTCGATCTTTTACGATATTTATCACGAATTAAAACCCACACGCAACCATATACAACAATTCAAGATTCTCTTACGTCCCAACCATCGACAATTCCTCACACTTTTGCGAAATTAAATCCAACAACGATACGAATACTTCTTGCAAATGCCGCCTGTCAATATTTTTCCAATACTACGAACGAAAGATCACGATTATATCATTATAAAACTCCAATGTCCTGGCAGGATCGCCAAAAATATGTTCTCAAGACTCGAAACTCTTTTTACAAACTTTAATTTAACAAAAATAAACGAAAAGAACAATAATAAAAGTAATATTTCCCCTCATAAAATCTCACGAACAACGTTTTTCGAACGACCTTAAAACCCGTTGCCTAGCAACCCCTCATTGGACATAGGTTGCCCAAGTTTACTGTTTTCGAAATGTCAACCATAAAATGTCAACTACGAATTAACTACAAAATACAGTTATCTTAACAACAGTTCGTTTTCTAGTCTTAGAGTTGTTGTCGTTGTTGTTATTGTCGTTTGTCGCTTTTGCCATTGTTGTTGTTAATAACATATAACAACATCATTCTATAATCACCGCCTAATATATGTGTCATACAGTGATTATGAAGACTAATTTCTTGTAAATAAATATAAATATTATCTAGTTTTTCAGTATATATAACTCCTCCTAGTGTAGTATAATACTGTTTTAGGAGTATTTCGTTAAAGCATTAAAGCATTAAAGGAATTTGAATAAGTTTTTAGGAGACATGATTTAGGATTTTTGTTTAATTTTTAGTTTTGATATTCTGTAAATGGGGGCCACAACTAATTTGAGATATAATAATGCATATAATCGTACAGTATATTTTGTAATGTAGAAAATAATCCTGTTCTTAAATTATATATGTATATGATACAACTACATGATTATGTTGATAGGAATTTGAATAAGTTTTTAGGAGACAAATTAACTACTTTAATAACTAATTTGAGATATAATAATGTATAGTATGTGGATTGTAAATTCTGTAATATAGAAAATAATAGAGTTCCCATAATAAAAAAAATATATCGAATAGACTAATACAACTACATGCCATATATGTTGATAGGAATTTAAATAAGTTTCTAGCAGGGATAATTTAGGATTTTTGTTTTATTTTTATTTATGATATTCTATAAATGGGGTACCCAACTAATTTGAGATATAATAATATATAATATGTAGATTGTAAATTTTGTAATACAGAAAATAATAGGGTTCCCATAATTAAAAAAATGTAATACATACAACTACATGCTATATGTTGATTAGAATTTGAATAAGTTTTTAGCAGGGAAGATTTAGGATTTTATTTTGTTTTTATATATGATAATTTGAGCAACTAATTTGAGATATAATAATTTATAATATATATATATAGATTGTATATTTTGTAATGTAGAAAATAACCGAGTTCTTATAATATATATGTTTCTAATACAACTCATGATTATGTTGATAGGAATTTGAATAAGGTTTTAGGAGACACGATTTGTTTTATTTTTATATGTGATTTTCTATAAATAGGGGCCCTGAGTAATTTGAGATATGTTAATGTATAAATATTTAGATTGTAATTTTGTAATATAGAAAATAATAGAATTCCTGGCTGAATTTGAATAAGTTTTTAGTGGGCATGATTTAGGATTTTTGTTTTAATTCATGATTTTCTATAAATGGATGCCCTACTAATTTGAGATATATATAAATGTATAATATATAGATTGTAAATTTTGTAATCTAGAAAATAATAGAGTTCTTATAATATATATATATGTATCTAATACAACTACATGCTATATGTTGATATATAGGAATTTGAATAAGTTTTTAGGATACATGATTTAGGATTTTTGTTTTATTTTTATTTATGATATTCTATAAGTGGGGTTCCCAACTAATTTTAGATATAATGATGTATAAAATGTAGATTGTAAATTATGTAATATAGAAAATAATAGAGTTATTATATAACATACATGATACTTTAACTTTTTTAAAGTTACATGAAGCATACAAAGACTAACAGGTAGACAAAAATATATAAACGAAACAAATAAATATTATTGAGGACAGGTCAGCTACACTTCGCCGTAGATTTTATAATTCTCTTGAATGAATAAACGGAATCAGCGCTTTTTGCTTCAATAGACAGATTATTCCAATGGATAGCTCCATTGTATTTAAAACTTCTTTTAAGAAATTCTTTCTTTGGTTTTGGTAATACTAATATCAGTTTCACGATTCCTAAGATCATAAGGGGAATCACCTTCACTGCATCGTCGAAATAGTTGTTTTAAATTTGGGGCGGCATGGTCATTAATTATTTCATAAATCCAAATAGATTTTGTATAGTTGCGTCTCTGCATGGTCTAAGGATTCCCAACCTAACATATTCAGCACATCAACAGATCGAATATCAAAAGTATACCCCGTTATAACTCTCGCAGCGCGATTCTGCAATCTTTGAAGCATTTCCCTATAAGACCACTTCCACAATTGTCCCAAAGAGGGCTACAATAATCAAAGTACGGTTGCACCAGGGCATTATATATTAGCTTAAGTGTTTCTACTGGTACAAAAGGCTTCATTCTTCTCATAATTCCAATTCCAGCCCCAACTGTCGCGCAAATATTATCTATATGTTTTTCCCAATTAAACCTTCCATCCAGGTCAACACCCAGGCATGTGTAGTTTTCCGTCCTGGGGACTGGTACGTTATAAATTAAAATTGGGTTCTGAGAAATTTTGTTTTTAATATTAAAAGACGATCCAATGTACATACAGTATGTTTTGTCTTTGTTGGATGAATTTGAAGCTTATTTTGTAACATCCATTTAAGGACATTTTCAAGATCAGAGTTTATATTGGTGACCAGCTCGTCACCATCTTTAGCAGATGTATAAATTTCCATGTCATCTGCATACATAGAGGGAGTGCAAAATTTTAAAGATTTAGGCATATCGTTTATATATAGTAGAAACAGCAACGGCCCCAAGATAGAACCCTGCGGGATTCCACAAACTGTTTTCTTAAGTGATGAAATCTGGCCATTAACCGTACATTGTTGCTCCCTGTTGGTTAGGTAAGATTTAAACAATTCCAGTTCAGTGCCAATTATCCCAAAATGGTCGTGCATTTTTTGTAGTAGTATTTCATGATTTATTGAGTCAAACGGTTTTCATGCTATATGTTGATAGGAATTTGAATACTTTTGTAGGAAACATGATTTAGGATTTTGTTTTATTTCTATTCTATAAATTGGGGCCACGACTAATTTTATATGTATAAATGTATAATATGTAGATTGTAAATTCTGTAATATTGAAAATATAGAGTTTCTACAATATATATGTAATTGATACAACTACATGATATATGTTGATAGGAATCTTAATAAGTTTTTAGGAGACATGATTTACGATTTCTGTTTTATTTTTATGATCTTCTATAAATGGGGGGGGGCACAACTAATTCTAGATATAATAATGTATAATATGTAGATTGTAATTAAATTCTGTAATATAGAAAATAATAGAGTTTCTATAATATATATGTAATTTTGTATCTAATACAACTACATGATTCTGTCGATATAGGAATTTGAATAAGTTTTTAGGAGACATGATTTAGGATTTTTGTTTAATTTGAGATATAATAGTGCATAATATATAGTATATAATTTTATATTTTGTAATGTAGAATATAGAAACATATAATATATATGTTTCTAATACAACTATACATGATTATGTTGATAGGAATTTGAATAAGTTTTTAGGAGACATGATTTGTTTTATGTATGTTTTTCTATAAATAGGGGGCCCTGAGTAATTTGAGATATGTTAATGTATAATATTTAGATTGTAATTTTGTAATATAGAAAATAATAGAATTCTTGGCTGAATTTGAATAAGTTTTTAGTGGGCATGATTTAGGATTTTTGTTTTAATTCATGATTTTCTATAAATGGATGCCCTAACTAACTTGAGATATAATAATGTACAATATGCATGTAGATTGTAAATTTTGTAATCTAGAAAATAATAGAGTTCTTATAATATATATGAGGGTGGGAAAGGGGGGTATGGATCACGTTTCACAACGAAAAAAAGCCGTTTCACGATTCACATGTCTTAAAAAAGCAATTTCACGGAAAACTAGATTCTCATAAAATAATATTATAATAAGTTTATTAAGACTATGTTTAATGCATGGTACAGTATCTACGGTTTAAGTTCTATCATTTCTCTACCTGACAGTTAAAAACTACATCATAACTTACAAGTTTGAGTGCGTGTCCTCACCGGCAGGAACCTTGTCCTCACCGGCAAGAACCTTGTCCTCACCGGCAGGGACCTTGTCCTCACCGCCAGGAACCTTGTCCTCACCGCCAGAAACCTTGTCCTCACCGCCAGGAACCTTGTCCTCACCGCCAGGAATTTTGTCCTCACCGCCAGGAATTTTGTCCTCACCGCCAGGAATTTTGTCCTCAGCGCCAGGAACCTTGTCCTCAGCGCCAGGAACCTTGTCCTCAGCGCCAGGAACCTTGTCCTCACCGCCAGGAACCTTGTCCTCAGCG